TGAACATCTGTTGTAAGTATGGCTAAGTTACTGTTTGTTATGGTACAACTTTCTAAATAAGGCTTTATAAATCTTTTTCGGTTTTCTTAGTAGAAAGTTACCCTTCCAATTCTAGAATGGAAATCTGACTAGGTTATTAAAGCTGTCAGATTTTACTCTTCTTTTTTATTCAGAAAGCTGGAACTTAGTCTTACTACTGACTTCAAATACTTATTTTTGTATTTTAGTGTGGCTTTTTGAGTCACACCTGCAGCTTTCTAATCAAAATAAGCATCTCTGTTGCCCATTTGAAGAGGAAGTCATCTGCCTGTGTTCTATTTTCTGAAGATAATAGAATTCACTCTTCTAAGACTACCTACGTTCCTGATAATTTGACATGAAACTGAATCTAATCTTTTTTTTTTTTGGTTTCCAATGAACTAGTTAATTAACTAAATTTTTTTCACTTACTAGCAGTTCCATGGGGGTGGCTGAGTGAGTATTGTTCTGTACAGAATGATTCTAGTTACAGTCAGTGAAGCATGGCTGGCTGTGAATCACATTATGTATGTTCTGAGAATACCAATGGCAGATGATTAAATTAAAAAGTTGCTTAGATCTCTTAAATATAAAATTATTTTTCTTTTGCTGTGTTATTTTGGACAACATCTGGTTTTGATTCCCATTGAGAATACAACTTATGTAGTAAAAAAAAAAAAACAAACACCAGCCTGCCACCTAAATTGGTTTCAGATGGTTGTTTTTCATGACAATTTGAGAATTTGTCACTTAATGTCCAAGCTAGTATTTTTAGCAATTTTCCATTTTCATTGGCAGTGACTTTAAATACAGTTTTCTATAGTCTCCCATTGTGAAACTATTGCTCCTATTTTCTATAGTCTCCTATTGCTACTTTGTCATCATGGTTCCATGTGTGTCTTGTTCAATTGTTTTTAAAGAACTTTTTTCCGTAATAACTTGTGTTCTGTTGCCTTCTAGCAGCAATGGAAAAATACATCATAAATCCTATAGAATATATGAAAACTTTTCTTCAGTCTTAGAATTTTATGTGAATTTTATAAGATCTGAATCCACAAATGCCATTTTACTTAACGGGACTCTTTGCTATAATTGTAGGAGTTACGTTACAAATACTATGTGGAATGTCAGAAGTTCACCGGTGAGTTCAAGACACAAGCTTTAGCTGCCAATAGAAAGTATAAATTTGTAACCGCTGAGGCTTTGAAGGCAAGATCCTCAGGAACTCCTTCTGTATCTTCACCTACCAAAGCAAATAACACAAATAAAGTTAAAATGAGAAGCCTGCAAAGAGCAGATGGCTTTGAGAGAAGCTTTTCTGGAACCAGTAATCGCAGCATCGCATTCACAAGTATGAACTTTTCTGAAACAAACGGTGACTTAAAATTATTTCATGCGAGAAGTTCCCAGCAAGTAACCACTCCAGCCTTACCAGAAAACTCTGAAGACTTGGTAATTAAAGAAAAATTGCCAATGCAGGCATCAGAAGCTACTGTTTCCAAGGAAATGGACACAAATTCTAGCACTTCATGGGGCTTAAAACCAGCAGCATCAGCAGCTCTTTCAAATTCAGATTTTCTAGATGTTTCTGCAGAGAGACTTTCTGCTTCACCTTTTGCTTTCAATGCATGTAACAACTCATTACCCAGGCTTACTAAAGATGCAGGTCCATCTTCCTTTAAAAAGAAAGACAGGAAATATGTTTTCCCTCAGTTTTATCTAGGAAAATGTGATCGTACGGATAAAACCGATAACCAGGATGAAAGCAAATTTAGAAAACATGGTCCTGTAACCCAAACCACAGTTTCTGATGCTTCAACCAGTCCTAATTTAGACTCAGCAGAAAGTGAGAAGCCAGATTTTTCAATGCCCGTTGATAATTCAGAAAGAGATTGTTTCGCAGGATCAGAAGTGGGCAATTTGTTTAAGTTTTCACCAGTATCTTCACTTTTTAGTCAATTTGAGAAGCCATCTGACAAAAATACATCGTCTCACATGAGAGAAAACACGCATTCTGCAACGGAAACTGCAGAACATGGTACACAGAAACAATCTGTCTCATGGGAACAAAAAGCCAATGGCTCAGAATCCATCACAACTGTAGCTTGCAGTACTTCAGAAACCAACACTGCAGCTGGGGTGAATGATGTTTCAGAGTCCCCCATTCTCCTCAGTAATTGTGTATTTTCCTTCAAAAGGAACTCTTTTCAGTTGCCTCTACCAATATATTCATTTGGAAGTAATGTCAGAGATACCTCTGATTCGCTGACTTCCTCTGTGTTTCTGTCTGGAAATGGAATAGAGAAAATGGAAAAAGAGAAGATGAAATCTCCTGACAAAACACCTCTAAATCTAGAGAAGCCTGTATCTTCAGAGTGTGCAGAGCCTGCTTCTAGACATAGTCATCCAAAATGTGAAGACTCATTGTTTCCCGTGAACTCATCTAAGAAAACTGAAAGTGCAGAAGTGCTTGCTGCTAGTAATTCTTCATGTAGTCAGCCTTCGTGTTCAGTTGCTCTTCCCGTTAAATACGAGAACGCATGTTCTGCTCCACTTACTATTACAGCAACGAAACAAGAAACAAAGGTAAAAGATGAAGAAAGTGAAACTGTTGCTGAAAACAACTGTTCCTGTCCTGGGAGGGAAGATGGACCTGAGTCTGTACTGTTTCAGAATGCAGCTTGTTCTGTTCCTGGCACATGCAATGATCCATTTTTAGGAGGTTCTATGCTTACGGCAAATGAGGCAGGAGGAATGCCAAGTGATAGCGATTCTGGCACTGAAGAGGTAAGTCAAACATTCGTCTCTACTGGTACCAGCAGTGCATCAGAATATTTCTCTGTTGCTGAAGACAAAATGTCTACTAGAAGAAAATCAGAGACGTGAAGAGAGAGTGAAATGGAAGATAACTGTACTTTAGATAAGACGGAATTAAATAAATGGTACTTAAACACATTAAAAGCGAGGATGCCTGTGATTTTACAGCTGCTGTTCTCCCCGATTCGTGCCAACTGAGGTATCTCTGTGTTAGAAACATAACTGCTTATCAGCAAAAACAACGTACTAAAGTGATTCTTATAGTACAAACCCAAACTGAAGAAGCAACCAAAAATGTCATGTCTTGTTAAAGACTCAAGTATGACCATGTATGCTGTATCTTTAAGAATGCAGATCTTCCGAGAAGTGCTGCTGGCATATGTGAGAGTGGTGGGGGACTGAGGTGCTGCAGAAAGCAGGGTCCGTGAAGCCTCAGCAACAGGAAGCAGTGTTTTGCTGTTTCGGTACAGCACCCCTTGCACTAGGGTTGAATCAGTAAGAGTAGGGAGAACAGCGTTCACCTTATAGGCAGGCAGGGAGGAGAGCCATGGAGAAGATAAAGGATGTTGAAGGACACTACTCAAATTGCTCTGCGTTATCTCTCTTTGCCTCTTTTCTTTTTCTATGATGTATTTAATGTATACTGAAGGTGCAACTTCTAATGTAACTTCAATAATTTCTCTTATGCTTTTGAAATTGAAACACCACACCAATGTTCATAAAGGCTAATTTTCAGTTCCCTTTGGCAGCGGTTTGGGAATCAGTGGACAGATATTAAATTGCTGTTATGATGAAAGCATTAGGAGAATCTAGCTCTTAAAAAACAAAAATCTCCTTTTAAAATTCGTGTAATGACAGGAAAAAAGGAAAACAGCACTTTTCAGTGTAAGTGTTAATGATCCAGAGTTCATTGAGTTGTTAGTCTGAAATACCATACAAAGTGAGGATAAAAATACCATCTTTTCTAACTTATTAACCATTTTGTTGCATCCACGAGAGAATTGTGCTTCAGCTATTAGAATACACAGACAGTAGCACTAGTTCAGATTAAAGCTCTATTTAATTTATTTTTCACTCTTCAGCAAGAGCTGGTGCTGGATTTTAAGTAAATGAATAATCCAGCAGTAAGTAGATATGTCGACTGGCAAGTATTAGACCAGAACGCAGAATGTTGGATATCCTTTCAGAATTTTTCACTGGCAACTAGGTAGTCATCTTTTAAAAAATAAAAAATCCAAATTATCTTTCTAGCTTCATGAGAGAAATATTACTTAAATTTAGATCTCTGGAAGGCTTATCAATATACTTACTGTGACAGAATACTTCGAAATACTATTCTTGGTTTAGGAAACATTGACCTAACTTTAATTTGACTTGTGTTAAATTCTTGGCCTTGGTTTTTCTGTGGCAGTGCTTTCCTCTATTAAATGTACTGAAATATAGTTTCTAGAATTTATAAAACTTACTGGTCTTCCCTTTGCGTCTGCTTTATAGTAAGGAAGGTGGTGAAAATTCTCCTTATTGTTAGTTTTATACTTCTTTATGTTCATCTCAAGTCTTACTGTATTTGTTTTCTCCTAAGAATTGTTCTGCTTTTATTTCTAGACATTCTTGTCATGTTCTTCTGCATGAGAAGAAGTGATAGAAGTGTTAAAATATTAAGTTAAATTACTGAAAGACAAAGGCTGAGCGTGGTGATAATGGCAGAGCACTTCATGGATGGAGGTTGATCTCACTATAATGAAAGCAAGAGAAAGGGAACCATTTTAGAGAGACAGATAAGGCACCTATAAAACTTGTTGCCAGAAGATTGTAGAAAATGTTTGTTTTGTGCCATAGTGACAAAAAAAAATCTGAATGAGTTGGGGTTACTCAGAAACCCCACTGAGTTTGTTAAAATTGCTTATTTTCAATGTATCTTGTGTTCATTTATATTATAATGTTTCATGAGAGTTTGATATAGTTTAAAGCAGATACTTTGTCCTTTAGTGAAAAGACACTTAAGGAATCATAAAGCAAATAAAGAGACTACAATACACTGTTTTGTGAAAGCAGAAATTGTTGGGGTGTGGGTTCAATACACTTTAGGACAGCTTTTCAAGCATGGGAAGTTGTTTAAGTGCATTATAGCTCAGTACTAAGGTTTTACAGGGGAGATAAATTATAAGCAGGATGTTTTATTTACAATAGGTCACAATAAAATTGCAGTCGACTCACATACTACATCAGTAGAACTACAGATTTTCTGATATTTTCACAAGTTGACTACTTTGTCATTTTGACTTAATCGCTTAGTCATTTTTCACTATTGACTCCTTACTAAAAGCCATAACAGGAGTGAAATGCTTTTTATTAACATTATTAAAAGTGAAATGTTGAACGCTGTTACTATGCTTTGAGACATGACAGTCTTCAGCATATGAGATTAGTATCCTGTGATAGACCTAATAACCTTGGATTGCACCCAGAATTTCATGCTTGCTGGTCAAATAACTGAGAACACAATAGGACCAATTTTTGACTTTATTCCTTGGTCGATTGATTGTGTCTTAGCTAAAAAGATTACTCCATTTATACTTGGAAGCATGAATTTGGAGACATCTAAATAAGGTCATTTCTACCCTAGTTGAGTAACAGTTGTGCAAGATTTATCTACATATGATGTGACTTGCCAGACAGTGAAGAATAATTTGAGTAAATTTTCTTTGCCAAGCAGAGCAGTCTGTTCTACCGCAGTGTTCCATTTCTAGTCACGTGACTACATACAGGTTCCTCCCGCGCCACCCCCCCCCGCAATATCTCCTGGCAACGTGTTGCATGCAGTTTAATGCTGCCTAGCTGCCTAAAGAGACTTCAAGTCAAAGACTTCATCAGTGATGGTTTCATGAACACTAGAGCTAATTCAAAGAAATGGGGTTCTGAATTGTCCTTAATGCATGTTTTACTTATTATCAATACAGAGTAACTTACATCACTATCTCGGTCATCATTATAAAGTTGTGTGTGGCAATGAGGACTATTGTCGAAGCCTAATTTTCCTAGGTTATCTAAACATTACAATGTGTGTATATATTATTTTTTTTCAGACTACAAGTAGGCTAAAATGTAGTGGTAAACTGAACAATTGTGAGGAATAGTATGAAAATACTGTTGAAAACTGCTTTTCCCAGCAAAACCCAAGAAAATAGTTAGGAAACATACTTTATTAAACTCAATAATTTGCATTGCAAGGGATTTTTTGACAATTATGCTAGAGGTCTCCTGCATCTTTCTGAATCTTAAGGATACAAGAGGTGAAAAATGAAGCAATTCTACATATGGTTGGAACATTTCATTAATCAAACTTCATTATACTGATATAAAACACTCTTTATACTTAATATTTTGTAAACTAAAACTGCAGACCAGCTTAAAATCTTTTATCATGGTTCATGAAGGTACTACATCATAACTTAAAAGAAACCTTGGAAAATAATTAGAATAATATATTTGATTGTAATTGCCAAAATAATTGCTGAACCTCTTTCACAAATGGGCTGAAAGTTTCCAGCGCAGTCCTCCTGAGATGCTAATCTCACCAGCTGTCAGAACTGGGTCATTCATTCAGTATATTGGAGAGCTGTCTGTATCACTGCCTGAAACCAAAATGTGCAATTGATAGTTTTGTAATCTATTAGAAACAGTTATTTAGTTGACATTGGAGCTGCTGAAATTGTCAATATGTAAAAGTTAATTTTCTAAAGTAAACTTTGTATTGCTAATGTCGGATATTGCTAAAGTTTTATTATGAAATATATTTGATCACTCAGATGTAGTCACTTCCTAACTTAAAAGCAGTTGGTCTGTGTGGTTAAGAGTATTGTGTACTGCTGCATTGTTTGGTGGGGTTTTTATGTTTGTTGTTTTTTTCTTTTTTCTTCAGGTAGCACACTTCAGTTTATCTTCATAGATTTCATCCAGTTGTTGAAATGCCAGTAGAACATTATCATTTGCATCATCACACAGTTCACTCAGTGATGTTCTGGAGGTTTTTTTTTTTTGTTGTGTTGTGTTTTTTTTTTTTTAAAAAAAGCATTGTTTCATTTTGAGTTGCTTTGAAGATGAAATATATAGTATATTAAAACGCACAAGTTTATTATACCTGATAGACTTAATGAAGAGTTAAAAATCCTTGAGTGCCTTCATTTAACCTAAAGAAAGAAAAGAATTCAAATGGATATGCACTATAACATACTGTTTCGCCTTTAACAAACCCTGCCATATATGTTGGGTACGGATGCAGAGAACATATATCATGGCCTCAAACACTGACATACTAGTTTATTAGGCTTACTGTAGAATAACTATAAGCTTAAAATAATAACTGTTTGAAAAACTAACCTGTCACAAGATAAACTGGAATGCTATGCTTTTGCTGGCTTGAGATAGGAGATAGTAGATAGTAATTGAGTAATTGAGCAGGAGATAGTATAAGCTTTCTGCAGATGATGAAGACCCTGTATTTTACAAAAAGAACCACTGATTACTGAATAGCAACTTAATAAATTCAGTTCCTAGTAATTAAGAATACGACGTTAAAAAAAATACAATCACTATTGTGTTGAATATAATAGAATTATGGAATGGTTTGGACTGGAAATAAGCTTTAAAGATCATCTAGTCCAAGCCCCCTGCCATGGCAGATACATCGTTCACTAGCTCAACTTGATAGAATCAAAGAATGTGATTCTATAATCAGTATATTTCCTCGTCTCTTGATAGTGTGGCATTAGTGCTAAACTGTGCTATTGTAACTACAGCAGTGCGTAGAATGTGCATTCTAATTGTTCTTACTAGAATCTTCTTGGAGGAGCTTACAAAAAAGCAGATAATACTATATACTGCCATCAGCACCCTCAGAGAGCAGAGTGAGGTGGTATTTTCTTAGTCATAAATAAAATTATTAGCTATGAGATTGAAGGTAAATTAAAGATACTCAATAAAGTAATTGGCAGAGGGAACTTGTGGTTGAGCTTTTTTGAGCTGAGGTTGGGAGTTCATAGAATCATAGAATGGTTTGGGTTGGAAGG